AAAAAAAAAAAAAAAAAAAGGAATTATATTGGCTGAGTGTAGTAGCTCACACCTGTTATCCCAACACTTTGGGAGGCGGAGGCAGGCAGGTTAATTAAGCTCTGAGGCTTAAGACCAGCCTGGGCAACATGGCGAAACCTCATGTCGACAAAAATTAGCCAGGCATGATGGTGTACACCTGTAGTCCCAGCTCTACTGCAGGGGGCCAAGGTGGAAGGTTCACTTCAGCACAGGAGGTCAAGGCTGCAGTGAGCCGTGTCTGCACCACTGTACTCCAGTGTGGGCAACAGAGTAAGAGACCCTGTCTCAAAAAAAAAAAGAAAAGAAATTAATTGATGTACATCCAGTATAGAGAGGATCAGGCATCCAGATTCCCCCTCCTCCCCACACATGCACTGATCAGTGCAGAAGACCTGGGGTTAGGAGGAGTTCCTCTGCAGATCTCCAGGGAGTTTTGTGGAGAAAACCCCTGGTTGTTTTGGATATCCCCAACATTTTGTGGTCGAGAGCGTAGACTGTAGCAATACTCATTCCAAAGACTTCAGAGTGTGGGTATAGAGTATCCATACTCTGTGGCCCTTATGAATGTTTATGGAAAACCAGGCTGTAAGGTTTCAGCATTTTCTATGTCTTCAGCTTAACCAGTATACAGTACTTAGTAGTGGATGTGTTAAAATGGCTGCTTTAGAACTTACATAAGCTCTGAGGGATTTATCACCAGTTCTTCCCACCAAGAAAATATTACTATATTGAAAAGCTCAGCTGTGGAGGAATTCTTGCATAACAATAATTATTTAAATTATACACATTTATCTTTGTGGATGGAGATATAGCAGATTAGTTTTCTAACTAATTGTATTTTCATAATTTTGGTTTATTGGAACAGATAGAAATTTCAGGCTTTGGGGAAAATCTGAACCTGCTGAGAATTTGTGAATGAGAATCATTATGGAGTTCTGTGTTGGAAACCTGGCTTATATCACCATTTAAAGATTTTATATTATTGGCTGGGCACAGTGGCTCACGCCTGTAATCCCAGCACTTTGGGAGGCCAAGGCAGGCAGATCACTTAAGGTCAGGAGTTCGTGATCAGCCTGGCCAACATGGTGAAACCCTGTCTCTATGAAAAATACAAAAATTAGCCGGTTGTGGTGGCAGGTGCCTGAGGCAAGAGAATCGCTTCAACCAGGGAGGCAGAGCCAAGATCACGCCACTGCACTCCAGCCTGGGCGACAGAGTGAGTCTCCAGCTCAAAAAAATAAAAATAAAAAATAAAAAGATTTCATATTGTTTACTTCTTGTTTTGAGATTTTATAACTTGTGTATTCAATGAGAAAAGTAGTAGTATGGTTAGCTCAGTTGGAAAACAGGGCTAGATACGGAAGCTGCACTTGAAATCCTATTATGTTAGAGACAGGGTCTCCCTCTCGCCCAGGCTGAAATGCAGTAGTATGATCATAGCTCACTGCAGCCTCAAGCTCCCAGGTTCAAGTTATCCTCCTGCCTTGGCCTCCCAAAGTGCTGAGATTACAAGTGTTAGCCACCATGCCCAGATGGATTCTTTTTTTGAGACAGAGTCTTGCTCTTTCACCAAGGCTGAAGTACACTGGCGTGATCTCAGCTCACTTCAACCTCCAACTCCCAGGCTGTGTGTGTGTGCCTGGCTAATTTTTTTTTTTTTTTTAATTTGGAAAGATAAGATCTCACTATATTTCCCAGGCTTATGTGTAAATCCTTCTTCGGCTTCACGCCTGCGTGTTTTGTAGATGCCTGCACTTTTTTTTTTCCCATTGGTCCTTTGGAAATTGTTCAGGTTTTTTTTTCTGTATCTTTAAACAACAAAACAAAGCACCTTTTTAATTAAGTTACGGTAAACACATAACATTCAGGAATTGTTTTAAATATATTTGCTAAATGTTGGCGCCTTATGGATGACATTTGGCCATAGCTATGCAGAGTTGCCAGAACTTGATAATGAGCAGTAATTCATCTTGAACATTTTTCTGTTTTGCTGTTTAATCCAGTACAGATGCAGGTGTTTTCTTTCTGTGACTTTTTATGAGCAGTTGTATCTGTAAATCACCTCCTATGGAGACAGGTGTGCCTGTGACTGAGAGCCAGCTGTTGGGTGTTTCAGCTAAACAGCTTGCTCCTAGTTAGCTGCTCAGATCCCCCCCAAGAGAGGTATTGGCTGCTTCAGGGAATAGAGCGGACAGGGTGAAGGTTCTTGCAAGGCCTTTAGTGACCCACTTGGTTTCAATTTGCTGAGATTCTCCTGCTTTGGCTTTTTCCTGTAGGTGCCAGAGTTCATCTGCTTCATATTTTTACTAATGACTCATCTTCCTGTTGTATTTTCTTAGACTGATGACTTAAGAATCTTTGGGCTTGGTTACATAGTTTCTCCTACCACCTGTATGGGGAGGAGAAAACTGGTATTCAAACTCAAGCCTGTTTCCATTTTATTTTCATTGATTTTTATGGTACATAGAAAAACTTTCTGAAAATGGCATTTTAGTGATTCATTGTTTTCTATGGGAGGAAGCTTATGACCTGCTGTTTTCTTTTTCCTTTCCAGAGGGAATCTGGAAAAATTGCAAGGAAAACATCATTTCTCTAAGAAAATTTTGGGTAACAGAAATTCTGGACAACAGGTAAAGTGTATGTATTTAAACTTTGGTGGTACTGACGAATCATCTGTAATCTTCAGTAGTAAACTGGGAGAGGGAGGAGGACAAGTTAAAAGTTAAGTCTACTTTGTAAAGTTGGGGCTCTATTGGGGATTTTATATACAATTTAGGTGATTTTTACCTGGATCCCGGCTGTAGATCTGGGAATCTCAGAATGAAACTATCCTTTAAAGTGCTATTCTAAGTGGATTTGCTGTTGATTGGATTTAATGTCCTCAAAGTTGTTTACCAATCTTTTTTTTTTTTTTTTTTTTTTTTTTTTTTTTTTT